TGTACGGATCAGAAGTAAGTTGTGGGATTGATAACAAACCTGCACTGGTCAAACTCAGTGGAAAAGAACCCATGCCTTTCGGCAGCAAAGAACTATTTCAAAGAACTTATATTAATGAATCGGAAGTAGGGCTGGCGGGTACACTGGCAATGCCCGCCCAACATGGGTTGCTGAGGAGGGTCCTCTGCTCCAAAAAATGCCAATGTTGCACACTGACAAGCGTCATTCTACCGCTAGCAATCCATACCCAAAATATCCTATGCAGAAGGTAGGTTGGGGTTGAATTACATGATGGAGGCCAAAGTCAGTAGCGGATCCAAATACAGCGAAGAAAAGTAGATTATCTGACTGCACTGGTACAGTAGAATCATCAGAAAGTGTGATGGCGCATAAACACATTGATGGCACTGAAAACCCCGCTTGAAGCGTAGACGAACCCAAGAACGTAGAGCGTAAGTCATAATTTATTCCGCACAGCACGATTCATCAACAAGGAGGAAGAGCATTTATCAACCATACCTGAAAAAGAGCAAACAAAAACGAACATTGATCAGAGAAAAGGGACAAAACCCATAAGACATAAACCTCCCTCGCCCAAACAGGCAATTAGTTTCTACCTGAATTAGATGAACATTAAGATCACATGAGTACGAATCTCTCTGGACAGACTGAGGAGTTTCTATTTTTTGTGAAACTTTTTTGTAAGCTTAACTACTTTCAGCGAAGTCAATTTTTGAACCTTTTTGTTTAAGACTTCTTGAGGGCAAAAAATCAATCTAGAGTAAAAAAACTTGACCCAACCTTAAATCATTTCTTGGGCCATAAATGGATCTCAAAAAAATAAGCCGCCATTAATAGATCTAGAATTGTAAACTTTGATAAATATCTCCAGTTTACGACTGAGCAAAGCGATAGATATTTAGGGTAAGATAAGACTTCTAATCATCCTCCTCATGCAGATTTGTTGGCTGTTGCAAGTAGATGCGCAGAAAGAAGGTTGTCAAATGCTGTAAATGTTTTTATAACATCGTTAAGCTAAGATAGTGTTTTTTGAACTCTTTTTGTTATTTTCTCAGCTTTTTCACATGTTGATGTTTTTCTTGCCATTGAACATAGTACTGAATCATAGTACCTCAAAGATCTCGGAATAATTGTGCGACTTCGTGGGATACTTCTCTTCTCGAACATGCTCGAAGCCAAAGCGTGCAGAGACCTGTTCGTACAATTCATTCTTTCTTCCATGCTAGGCAGTCAAGCACAACCTTAACTTCAGCAAAGAAAGAGAATGTGTCAGCTTTTTTTCTTACATGAACTATATCTGCAGTTATCTTACAGGAGGTTGGGTGCTATTTCGACAAGGGTGGTGACGAATGGTGCTGTTGCAATACAGATCTCTGCAATTATAACTTCACGTTGACCACTACTACTATCTTACCTTCGCCTACTAAAGCATCCACGCATAAGCCTTCGACTATATTCACAAAAGTTTCTTCTACTCATACCTCTACACTTTCACCTACACCCGCACTATCTACACAACATTCTTCTTCCTCGTCTCCAGCATCAACAACTCTTTCAACATCGCAACCTGTATTCGACAATTCTTTTCTTCTTGTACAGAGTGTTTCTATCGTTTTGTACAATATAGCAACAAATACCTAAATTACGCATTTCTTTTTCATTTTATGGAATCGCTCAAAATGCTCCATAACAATAAAATCATAAATGTAAATAATATAGTGAAGTATGAACAGAAACGATCGAAGTACAGCTCATCATGTCCTCTGAGCCTAATCACAATTAGATGGGTACGAACAGTACGAAGCTTGCATGGACAGTGCAATGACAAGCAAATATAGATGCTGGTAGCAGAATTATAACTCAATAAGAAATGGGACTCATCTCTCTCTTACCAGCACAAGGATCATTGACATGCCACACCGGGAATGAAGCAAGTATGAGTGATATATTTTGAGCAATTCATTAATTTTTAACGAAAGTCTAGAAATTTGGTGAAAATACAAAGGTATGCAACTTTCCTTTCAAGCCTGTATTAATCTATCTGTGTGCTTACTTTGTTCAAGACGGGTTGAATAATCAAAAATCAGTAGCAGCTAAATTTGATTACCGTACATTTGAATCGGTCAAGCTTTGAAAAGCGAAGTTGGTTTGTCTATCTATGTTGAGCAGATTTCCTACAAAGTAAAAATTACTAGGCTTTCTAATGCTTTAATCCTGATGTTACGGCACTGAGTCTTGGACTAGTTGTTTAACCACATAAATATCACATTTTCTGAAGCCTTACTGTAATTTATCACCGAGAGTGGGGTAGAAAAGTATTGCAAGCTACGTCGCGAATGAAACATAAGATAAAGGCTGTTGAGCGGGGTCATATTCTTTTGGTAGTTGACTCAGACCTCTGACTGCAGTTGAAAGTCGTGAATTTTTGAAATCCCAAAAAATGTGCACACTGTTTAATTGTAAATAACTCTCTTGTAATGAAGTCTTTCGAGAAGCTTAAGGTACCATTTTGTAGAGCAAGGTTCAACTTAGATTTACAGTGTAGAGCGAATCGCCGATCGCTCATTCTTACTGTATGAGTACCTTCAAACATATGGTGTCACCGTGAAAAAAGCGGCCATTTCAAAAATCTTCAAAAAATGCGAAAATTTGTGTAATAGGTTTTTATGGACGCTGAGTTCAATACTCAACTACTCATCAGATTGCGAAGCTTTTTAAACTGTAACCGCACTTTTTAGCAAAATTGAAAAAATGCTTACCCTATTTTCAGGTGTATAAGCCGCGGGGTGGTCCTAGCTTACTTCGATCAGCCCGAACACATCAATGGACCTCGCATCCAAAGGACCCTATACCGTGCTGCGTATTGTCTGAAAGAATCGTGCGGCATAAGGATCGCTTCTCGAAATACAATGAAGCGGCTGAGCAACCCGGGCGAAAATTTGAAAAAGTGCGGCTTATACACCTGAAAATAGGGTACCTATTGCTTACCTCGCATAATTTTTTAATGAGCCATTACGAAAAATTGCGAACTTCACATTTAGAATCAGCAACTCTAATTAGCCTAGTGTGAGAATTTTCAGGTTGTTTTGGTTTTCTTTTTACAAAAAATAGCCTTTCATGGCTCAAAACTCTCTTCAAGGTTTCTACCGTAATCCTACAGTAAGAATGGCGATCGGCGATTCGCTCTGCACTGAAAAAAATCTAAGTTGAACCTCGCTCTACAAAACGGTACCTAAAGCTTCTCAAAAGACTTCATTATAAGAGAGTTATTCACAATCAAACAGTGTGCACATTTTTTGAGACACCCTGTATAACGACATAAAAATGTAGCCGGCGCAGCAGTTCAAGTGATTTTATGCAGCTATAAGTGAATTTTGCTGAAGCAAGCAGAAGATTAGAATTGTTTTCGCGAGATGATAATTTCTTTCCCCGAAGGTGGGGGGAGGGGGGGGGGGGGAACTATATCATGTTGCTTAGTTTCTCGAGAACGGAGATCGAAACAAAGAAAAATATTCATCAAGATGTTCTCCCAAACGCTGGGTCTTTTTTTAGATTTTGCTTTTTTTCAGAAGATCCCATACCCGTTACAACATCTACAGAATATCTTGGTCGCATTCAACATAACTATCCATCCTCTTCCAAATGTTTGCGATTACTGCATTGCAATGCAAACAATGAGCTTTCAGAAAATTATCAGAAGCTAGACAAAATAGCTCATGAGTTTTGTCATGGTCAAGCCTCGCTCTTTTTTCGAAATTTCATACCAGCTTTCCTAATAAATTCAAAACGGATGGTAAAAGCAAACCCACCTACAAGGTACAAAACGATTGCTTCTTCTTTCCATACTATTTAATGCTATGAAATTTCATATTCGACCAACACAAACCTCAGTGCATCAAACGGGCAGCAACTCGGGTGTCATTCGATGCAGCTTTTTCTCTTCTTACTCGATAATTTTGTCTTTCACTCGTATTTAGAATCAGCAACTCTTGTGGATTAAATCACCGTGAGCTCGGAAATTCGAAAATTGATCTAAATTTATTGTTGTTTGATGTCTGAATACAGGTCTGCTAAAATTCGATGTTTGCTCTATACATCGCCACTTGCACTTATTCGGAAAAAACATTGGAAAATTAGAGAAATCGTTGAAAAAAATGTTTCTAATTGCTTCCTCAGCAGTTAGAAACATCCCAGCATCTGGAAAACATTCCTCGATCAAAGGCAATGCAACTCATTCGTTCATGTCTTAAAAACTGGCAAACATTTCCCTTTCTTTGAACTTCATAGGTTGAAAATGGAGAAAAGCATTAGCAGTTTTTTTAACATTATATCATCAACGTTTATTGAAATATAGACCTTTGGAATAGAATGATGGCTGTTTGGTTTTAAAATAGCTCCCAAATTCTGCTAAGGTGACTCATAGAGCCAAAAGTTTACATTGAGCAAAATCTTTCCGTTTATTTCTGCTTGTGATACTGTTGTTAGATGCAAGGTTTTTGCTGTAAAGTTTTTGGAGAATAGATCGAAGGTTTCTGGTACAACGATATCTCGAGTTTTCTGTTTTTTTTTTGTCCTGCAATCATTTCAGTAATTCTGCAAAAAAAAGCAATCTGGCAGCGACTTTTTCGTTAGCGTATTAAAGAAGATTTTTGGAAGTTTGCTCAATCAAAGAATCAATGTATCTGGCTGAAAACGTTACGACATCAATTTTTTTAGTTTTTTGGTGAGGAATCCTGATGGAGTCTTCTAGCATTCGGCCGCTCGGTAACATTTGCAAACATACTCGTCTTTAATTAAAGCAATCTAACATTTTGTAGTCTTAGACATATTCTTTAAGTTTTTACCAATCCCTACAAGAACAAAAAGATTTACTCATTTATATCAATCTTAAATTGATTACGCAACTTGTTGTAAAGCACAATAGGATGCTTACAAAGTGACAACCGACAATAAAACAACTGCATTGTGGGCATTCCGTTCTTTCTTATCTGTACATTAATTAGGTCTGTAAATGCCCTTGTAAATTAGAAACACATGTTATTGCAACCTTCCTGATGGCGACAGTTCTGCTCGCTACTGTTCTTTTCGCTATTTTCAGCAATTCTCACGCAATCTGGTGCTTTGTAGGTAAAGATTTGAATTTAGTTTTACAAAACTTACTTGAACGAGAATACACGCTAATTTCTTCCCACTGAATCATTGCTATTGGTCAGATTCTAGAAGCGATGACATAATATTCTAAACTAGTACCAATCAATCATATTCTTTCCCCAAAACTTCCTTTGTTCGTGTAAAACCACGCTTATATAAGTGCATAACGTTTAAATAATCTCTCAAAAACTCTGGCTGCGATAAATTTTCAAATAGCTTTTTTTTCTATGCGTCAAGTTTCTCCAAGTTACTCATGAAAAATCACAATGAAAAGCTTCACCCGAAAAATTGCTCTTGCAAAATACAAGGCGTCCTAAAAGTACGACGCACTTTTGACTTGGTAACTCTCTTCCCACAAAGTCTTTTGCTTAGCATTTTCAAGCACCATTCAGTAGAGCAGACTTCAACTCAAGTCCATATGATTGAGTCACATAATTCCCTTCGTTGCTGTAAAGTTACGATAGGGAGCTTTGAAGAGGGTTTTAAGCCATCAATGGCTACGTTTAGCCGCAGAGTGAACACCCAACAAGTTGAAGCTTTTTCATTAGTCAAAACGAAGTGGCTCTCTAAGATCATAAAATTCGCGCTTAAAAGCTTTTTCCATAAGTCCCACGTACATAGAAATAACGTTTTTTTTCGAGTCTCTCAAAAATGTGATAAAAACCATTTAGAAGGCTTGAAAAGTCGTTTCAATGGCTTTGAGCTTCTATCTCTTTCATTTGAACACATTAACGAACAATTCAGGAACAGATGCAAAAAGCATGAGTTCCTCTCTTAGGCAAAATTTTGATCGTACAAATTCGTTGAGAATTTAAAAAGTTATCAATTTCTGAGAATGGTGCGAACGAACTTTCGGCACAACCCAATATTATCTAGTTTACTTCAATCAGAAGACCTCCTTGCTAATAATGCTGCGTGAAGCCTACAAAAGTAAGGTGGATTTCGCGGAGGTACCAACCAAGAATATTAGATTATTTTGAATACAGTACTCCAAAAAATATTTTGAGATGCTTTCGAAAGTTTTCGCAGGCCCGTGACTCCAAAATTTTGGAAAGAAAGGAGCCTGGCGCTAGCCATGTCCACGAAAACGTTTTTTACAAGACTAATATAAATTTTTGAAAATTTAAAAAAAATACAAACTATTTACAAGCATGATCAAGTCATTTGCACATTTCATTAACCCATGTAAATTAGCCAGGACCATATTTATTGAGTACTAGCTGGCATACCCGGCTCCGCCGTATGTTCCGAATAGAAAATTCCATTTCTTAACCGATCCGGACCAAACTTGGCACACATACACTTCGGGCCCCGGCGGGTGTCACAGCCCACTTTTCGTTATCGATTGATGTCGATTTTATCGATTTTTTGCAAAATTTGAGCTAGGGGCTGGGATTTGGCACAGGGGGGTAATCGAGCATGCTGATTACGAATACAATATTAGTTTTCGAAACCGTGCATTACTTTTATCGATTTTATCGATTTTTTGCAAAATTCGAGCTAGGGGGCTGGAATTTGGCAAAGGGGTGTAATCGAGCATGCTGATCACCCCCACGGGGGTGATCAGCATGCTCGATTACACCCCCCTGTGCCAAATCCCAGCCCTGTAGCTGAAACTTTGCAAAAAAATCGATAAAATCGATAAAAGTAATGTACGATTCTAAAAACTAATGTTGTATTCGTAATCAGCATGCTTGATTACCCCCCTGTGCCAGATCCCAGCCCTGTAGCTCAAACTTTGCAAAAAAATCGATAAAATCGATATCGATCGATGACGAAAAGTAGCCTATGACACCCGCCGGGGCCCGTAGTATATGGTGCCAAGTTTGGTCCGGATCGGTTCAGAAATGGAATTTTCTATTCGGAACTACGTACACACAGACATACAGACAGACAGACAGACAGACAGACATACAAACAGACAATCAGCTTTATATTAGGTAGGTGCAAAAGTTCGTTCGCCAGTTTTTCAAAAAATCGTAACTTCCTTCCAACTCGATGAATCTCTTTGATATTATACTCATTTAGAAGAGAAAACTTTTCTCTTTACAGCTGTACCTTTGCCATGAATTGGCATGAGAAAGTTCGAAAGTTAAAAGCAATTGAAGAAAAGTACTCAAGATTGTCATTTTTCAAGCAGGGTCTCGAAAAATTCTGGAAATATTTTTGTATGATAGAGAAAATTATGCTTTTTACAGTAGTGCCTTTCTCATGAGTTAAAACGAAAAAGATCGAGAGTTAGAAGCAAATAAAGGAAATTACTTCAATTTTGCAGTTTTTGAGCATGCTCAAAAAAGCCTAAAAACATCACAGGAAGGGCGGAAAAGTCATAAGCGTGAGTTTTGTAACCTTCTCTTTCTAGCTAAGCGAGTTTCGAGCTGATCGAGAGCGATTTTGATTTTCGTAATTTTTCGGATTTTCGGGTGTGCGTTTTTCACGAAAAACAAAATTGCTCGCGATTACCATGAAACTCACTCAGCTAGAAAGAGAAGGTTACAAAACCCATGTTTATGACTTTTCCGCCCTTTCTGTGATGTTTTTAGGCTTTTTTTAGCATGCTCAAAAATTGCAAAATTGAAGTAATTTCCTTTATTTGCTTCTAACTCTCGATCTTTTTCGTTTTAATTCATGTAAAAGGCACTATTGTGAAGAGCATAATTTTCTCTATCATATAAAAATACTTCCAGAATTTTTCGAGACCCTGCTTGAAAAATGCCAACCCTGAGTACTTTCCTTCAATTGCTTTTAACTTTCGAACTTTCTCATGCCAATTCATGGCAAAGGAACTGCTGTAAAGAGAAAGGTTTTCTCTTCTAAACGAGTATAAGATCAAAGAGATTCATTGAGTTGGAAGAAAGTTACGATTTTTTGAAAAACTGGCGAACGAACTTTTGCACCCACCTAATATATTAGGTTGGCTAGAAAGTTCTTGCGTAATTCAAACAAAATTCAATAACTTTTTAATGACTAAACCTAAATTCACAATCTTGTTCTCTGAAAATATTAGAAGGCCTGCGCTCCAAAATGGATGTTTAAGCGCAAGATTTCATGAGCTAGTCCCCGAGAACGAAGCTCTCAAATATGGGACTTCAAAATTTGCAATTTTGAGTTTGGTGCCAGAAAATCGCAGAGTGTCGCTAGTTAGCCGAAAAAAATCTGTAAAAATTACTTACACTGCAGAAGTCCATAAGTTACTTTGGAAGGCTTTGATCTTGCACGGTGAAGCAAAAACAAAAAATTCGTGAAATAGTCATTTTGCGGAAAAAATCCACTCATTACCGCAGTTTTTCGGCAAAAACTATTTTTTACACTCCAAAAAAACGTCGCAAAGTTCTAAATAGGCAATATGTCTTATTTCTGTTTGCAAACTGTGTTGTTGTGGAAAAATTACATCGATAAGGGGATTTATCCTGTAAAATGACAAATTCCACAAATTTTTTGTTTTCGCATTCCCATGCGAGTTTGAAGCCTGCTAAAATAACGCATGGGCTTTTGCAGTGTAATTAATTTTTACAGATTTTTTTTCGGCTAGCTAGCGACACTCTGCGATTTTCTGGCACCAAACTCAAAATTGCAAATTTTGAAGTCCCATATTTGAGAGCTTCGTTCTCGGGGACTAGCTCATGAAATCTTGCGCTTAAACATCCATTTTGGAGCGCAGGCCTTCTAATGTTTTTAGAGAACAAGATTGTGAGTTTAGGTTTAGTCATTGAAAAGTTATTGAATTTTGTTTGAATTACGCAAGAACTTTCTAGCCAACCTAATATAAGATTTATTCAGCCTTTTCAAAGCTCAACACATTTGCTAAGACAACTCTCGTATGCCTTACCCCTTTCCCATAAAAAATTGGATTTTGAGTCAAAATTTTCTTCGACAGCGGTTTTAACTTCTCCATTGTTTGGAAACTGAATTCCACCCAAGTGGGACTCGAGGTTTTCAAAAAAAGGAAGCTGAGGCCGATCTGGAGAGTATGGGAGATTGTTGATCAATTTGTAACACAGCTCTTAGAATTTCAACGTGCTACGCAGGACTTGTAGACGGTTTCGCCGTCTTGATGAAAAACTACTTTATTCTTAGAGTAGGGATCTTTTGGAGAGATTGTTCTTATGGAGACGATCCTAAAATCTGACATAATGCTTGTCATAGACCGTTTTGCCCGCTTCAAAGTAGTCGATCATCGGAGTCCTCCTGGAATCCCAAGCGTAGCCAGAATCTTTCGAGTTCGGTTTTTTCACTGGCAGTATAGCTTTAAAGTTGGTTTTGCTTTTTCCTCTGGTAGTAGAAATTCGCGACATTTTTTTTTTGGATTTTTCACAGTAATGGTGGACTTATGCTTTGTCTACGGCCGAATCGCCTTCAACACTCCTAAGATTTCTCCGGACTTGGTCAAAACCTCATTAGATACCAAGATGCAAGTCGGCTTTTCTAAAATAGTGAGCGCTTGTCGCACTTTATGAGGTCTAGAGCTTCTTTATCTGCAGATTTTCGTGAATGAGACTGTGTATTTACTCGCTTCACGCTGATAACCAAAGAATTGGCTACCTGATACTTAAAGACGATTGTGCATCGTTAAATGTATCACTGTAACATGTTACACTTCGCTCAAACTGTCTTTATTAATTGCCGTTCGAGCAGGCAGGGCAAAGCAGATTTTTTGTGTTGGTTTGAACACCTAAGTAGCATTTTTTTCACAGTGCTAAATGAAAAAGCATGCTGTCAAACTCACCTTTCACTTCGATAGCGTTGACTATGGAGGTGCTTGATAATCGCACAAGTTCCCTGCAACTATGGTTGCAATCATTCACTTTTCCACTCATATAAATGAGCGACAGAAAATAAAATGCTAATTTCTTGTTGTTTTCGGATCCTTTAGCTTGAGTGTACAAGAAAAAAGTTTCACAAAATTCAAATTCGATGTATTTAAAGGCAGTGTTCGAGCAAAATCGATTTATAGAAAATCCACTTCGGAATTCTAAGAACTTACCGGGGGTTATTCGCCACGCTGAATCTGAAAATCTACATTAGAAGGCGCGAAAAGGGTGAGAACATGCGTTTTTCAAAGCCTTTCATTTCGAAATCCGACGGTCCCCGCCAAGGTTGAGACGCAGAGTAAGCGGGACCCTACGTTAGACAGTGGCGGCATGCGTACACTACCGCAGAACAGGAATTTAAAACAGATGGAGAACGCCGCCCTAAGGCGCAAGTTTCAAAGAAACCGCAGCTCAGGGATATATTTACTATCTCAATTTCACGAGTACAAGAGTATCCACCTGTTTTCTTTTCTCAAGACTCTATTAGCCTGAACACATCAATTAATTTTTGAACCAAAGGACCCTTTACGTTCTGCCATATCTAAAAGAAGTTTGTGGGAGATCCATTTTGCGAAGTGCAGTCGTGCTGCCATGCTGCCTGCTTGAAAAATGAAAGAGGTGCGTCGTGTACTGTGAGATTAATGAAGAGTCCTCAAAAAGTTCGCAAATAACCTCTAATTGTAAATCACTTATCTACATCACAGACATGCAAATAAAGACAGATAGGTACAATTGTCGACTTGAAGTATTGGGAACAAAGAAGGCTACATATTAGTAGTACGATAGTGCGATAGATCAGCAAGTTTGCTAAGATAAATTTTGTATTTTATAATACCTTTACTTAGCTTGGATAAAATGGTGCGGTATTTTCTTTGTGGACTCAAAAAGTTTGCAGAATAGGATCTTGGTGACCGTACTCTTTTGATATGTGATATCCTGATATCCTCGCATCTGATGAGTTTGCCTAAGAATGCTAGTGATGTCGAATGGTCTTGGCCAGCTCCATCATTTTTGCACAATAGATGTCAGTTTGATCTCTGTCGGTGCAACTATTAGGTTGTTTGAAAATTAATGCAGGTTTTGCACATACTCACTTCAAAGCGTCATAACTCCTTTAAGTCTGCATATTTTAGAATGAGGTAAAAAATACTGTGATCAGCAAGTCTTTTTCTATTTGCTCCATTTTCTTATGTAACTGTAGCTCCAACAAGCAGATTACTGGCAGCCAGAAAGTAAAAAGAAATTTTTTGACAAGGTCATACTTGGCAAGTTGTAAACTCCTACCGAGTATGAGTGTTCAGAAACTTCTGTAGCTTATAGCCACGGAAAAGTACTACATATATAGCTATGCAGAAGATTTTTTAGAGATCTTCTGCGAAAGAAAAATTTGTGGAATCAAAATTTTCCATTTTTCGATATTTTCTCCACGGCTGAGATCTCCGATAATTTTGACTTTTTTATTAACTCATCAAAAATAAGCCTGGGAGGTACCGGTTGAGATAATATTTGACGGCACTGGCCTCACTCTTTGAGTACGAGGAGAGACTTTCACGATTTTCTTTAGAAAAGTTTTCTACGCCATGAAGTGGCCGCGACAATTATTTACACTAAAGCCTCAGTTTCTCTACTCTCATAATCGTTCAAAAGAAGCGCTGCTATCTGTTTTGTAAATTCACTCAATGTCTTGCTTCAGCTATATTATCATGGAAATACCCCCCTTGCCGAATAAGCTCAAGCCAAAATAGTGCAAAGGGTAAATTTAATAATTTGAAGCTTCATCTTCGGATGGTTGTAGATTTTGAACAAACGAAGTTGGTCGTAGAAGTAGTATATATAAGAGAGAGCAGGAAGAGCGGCTTCTTCTAGTATGCGAATTTGGTCGAAAGATGGACATACACAGAAGGACGATCCTCTTGAAACTGCATTTGCAGAAACCTGCATTAATTACCGGACAACCTAATACTTTTCGTAAGCTTTCACAACCGCTATTTTTCTCACAAAAGCGCTGCACAAGTAACGAACGTAGTTTTGAGATTAACGTTTCAAGACGAGCATTCTTGTATGCAACATTTTCAAAAGTCACGGTTACAAGATGGAATTTACAGGGTTGGGGGAATTCTTTGAACACGGTATTTTCAACGTAATAATGAAGCTAGACAAGATGATCACATGAAATCAATAGGTAATGTTTATGCTACACAAAAGTGGCTTTACAATTCAAAAATTATTCCTCTGACGCTAGCACAAGCTCGGAAACGCTTGGAAACGCTGTCTATGGTGGCACGGAGGTGCTTCGCGTCGATTTCTTCCAACGCTTTCTGAAGAGCAAGTTGCAGAGACCTCCACTGTTTTGCGTGAGTGAGCGCAGGCTTCGGCCTAAAGAACTGACCAGACCCTATAGTCGAGAGGATTCAGACTGGGCGAAAACGAGGCTATTCCGCAAAAGTAGCGAAGACCTTAAAGTTGTTTTGGAGCCAAGTTTGAACAACATTCGCTTTGTGCGCAGGTGCGGTACCTGCTGGAAGCACCAATCTTTCCCTGCAAAGTGGATTTTGGTCTACGGCATCAGTTGCTTCATCAGAATGCTATCCAACTATGTAGCAGCGTCCACCTTGATGCCCTGAGGCGCTGAGATCAGTGGCATCTTACCGCCGGAAGTGATCGCCACCCAAACCATCAGAAAAACCGGATGAGACTCTTCTTTGGCAGGTCAACCCCTGCTGATGGCTTCTCAGAGCGAATAGGATATGATTCTCATGTTTTGGAGATTGAAAACCTGTTTTACGGTAAGAATTTTATCGTCAGAAAAGAGTGCCGTTCTGTGGCATGTCTTGGAGAAACGTTCAAGCAGTTGATGGCTTCTGCGCAGTCAATTCAGCTTCGTGTCCTCCCAAAAAGCATGAAAATTTAGCATCCTGAAAAGCTTCGTCGCAGGGCCCTCTTTTACGATGTCGGAGACTGTCTTGCCAGAAATGGACCGCTCTGAAAACAGCTCAATCAAGCTTTGTCGAGGATTGCGACGAAGGCGTTGGCAAACGATTTTCAAAATTTCGTTACTGTCCACAGTAGCCAATTTACCACTCATACAACACTCCTGGGTGCTGTTGATATCCTGGAAACGACGCAAGATGGAAAAGACCCTGATCTGTAAAATTTAGGGAACCCTCGCTTTTTACTGGTCAGCCATCCTCTCCTCGTGCATCTCCTCCACCAACGCTCGCTCCTTTCCAGAAGGCATATCTCCGACAGGAAGAAAGCTAGTAGTCCAGTTTTTTGGGCTTGTACTCAAGAGTTTAGGAAGCAAAAACATATAATTAGCATACAAAAATTTGTGGAAAAGCCGAACATACAAGGGCATCAAAAATTGTTCAAGGATTTTCCCCAACCCTGTTTACTTGCAAAGGTCTACTTTATAGAGCTTATTTTTTGCGTTATATACAAATGTGATCTTCCAAGTGAAATTTTTGCTTTCTATTTTGCCTATACTATGTTTGTTTAGGTGAAACGAAAAACAACATTACGGAAGTATGGGAACATGAAGACAGCCAAGGGCGCTTCTGCTACAGGTTAGTGAATTTCCGACTGCCTCAATTGTAAAACTTTGTTTACTTGAGGTCTTATAACAGTGAAAAAGATGCAAACTCTGACTGAGGTTCATCTTACTACATCAGGAGTACGTGATTGTGTGTGCCCAAAGAGGATTAAATAATCGCGTTTTTCGATGATTTGTGGAGGAGCGGAAGTAAAGGTTACGAAGAAACGGAAAACATCCAAAAATTTTCGTCAATTGATCTCGAATTCAAAACAAAAACAATACTTTAGAATAAATAACAAATATCAATAATAACCATTGAAAAAATATCAAAGCTGTGTGTGTATGTATGTGTGCATGTGTGTGTATGTGTGTATGTGTGTGTTGTGTGTGTGTTGTGTGTGTGTGTGTAATCGATCCAAACTTTGCGCACATACACTGGTAGCGCAGGCTACTTTGGGTATCGACAGATAACAATAGTAACATATCTATCAAATTTTTTGCAAAAATTGAGCTAAGTAGTTGTGAGTTGGCACATTGAGCAAGTGAGCATGGCTGTATCGCGTAGATGAAACAGTTTGGACAAAGAGATGTTGTTAAAAATCTTCGAGGCGAAAAAAATGCTTCAATAAACGTTTGGAATGCCATGTCAAAATTGAACTGGAACACGTTGATTTTTCTTCTGACAAGGGAAAGAGGGTCGGTCGAATGTGGCTCTCTGAGATGCGCATTACGCTGATTTTAGACTAATCTTGCATTCAAGTTTTGCACCAAAAAAACTTCAAGTTCTCGCCCAGAGGCCCGCACCAGATAGCAAAGGCAGATTTGGAATTAACGTTCCAAGCTCTACAAGATAGTGTACATCACATTTTAGAAGGCCACTTCAACCAACGTTCCTCTTCTTGTAAGACGTTGCTGGTAGACAGCCTTCACAGTGCTTTCGAAAATTTCTTTTCAAACTAAAGCACTTTTCGAAAACTTTTGGGAGATGGGTCTAGATAGAAGAGTGCCCAAATTTCTTCTCAGCGTGTAAGAACGATGGCGTTTTAGTTTTCGTTTTTCTTTGAATTTGTCCTTATTTTCACGCTACTTATTCAGTAACAATAGCAACTAATTTGGCGTAAATTCCAACTTGAAAAACGTTCATCACCAAAGTGTATCTTTGTTGTTCTCACGTTTTCATTTTCTCTCAAATATTTCCCTGTACATCAGGTTCTCTTTTCGCGACTAGAATCTAGCGACCGACCTAACACTAGCTGATTCCATTATAAGTCACGGAACATGTTATCAAAACATGCAGTACTTGCACGATATGTCATCGCCTTTCATAAAATGAGGAAAGTTTGCCGGTCTAGTCAATAAGACCAGCAGGAAAATCTCAGCCACACATCCAAATGTCTTTTTGCGCCCATCAAATTGACATCGGAAGAGCGGATCACTTTTGGAGTGGTTGTAGGAGTTGATAAGCAGTTGGATCCAGATCAAACGTCCATCGAACTTGAGTCTAACACTGAGCAATCTTGACCTTTATAAAATTGCCCAAATCTATTTCCTTATCAGTCTCCCAAAGCTCATGCCCTACATCCGACAACAGCGGTTCGAGCATCCCCACAATTTTCTTAATATCTTCTCTGCTTCTAATATGGTGATCGATCTGCTGCGCACAGAAGGATCATGCGGTTGTAACGGACATTTCTTTTGCGCTGCAGACGGGCATAAAAAAGAAGGGGGCCTGTGTTTAAAGATCAACGATCGCAATGAGCTTGTTCGCATTTTTGCAAAGTGCGCGCTTGCAATAAAGTTCAGAGATGAACCTCTTGATATGGCGAAATCCTTCGCGCCACTAAGGCCTCGAACCTGATATACATGACACCAAACGCCTGCTTCCTTACTGCTCTACTGATTGAGTTAGTACCCGGTTCCCTGCAACGGCTAATTCAGCGTTTCAAAGCAGTGTAGGCATGCATGATTCAATAACACAAGTATGCACAATCAAAAGCTTACTCATATGATACCTACGCATAATCAAAACGCAATTATAGCACTGTGCAAAAAAAGAATGAATTGTTTGCAAAAGGAAGAAAAGGCAATAAGCAATAGTGCGCAAGAAAATTTGGCGTCGCATTGTAAGTCGACATGGCTGTCGTGCATCAGTGGCATTTCTGCCGGTCACTGACGCACGGCCGCTCGACCTACAATACATACATAACGCCAAATCACACGACTGCGATGTCGACTTGAATGAAAAAATTTTTTGGCTACCACAAGAACATTAAACTGCGCAGGACCGAAACCTTCAACAGTCCAAACATCATGCCGACCTTCCGCCACTCCACTGTGCTCGGTGCTGTTCTTTTCATAAGGTTATTAAAGTTTTGTACCATGATTGGATGGGGATTTTCTGATCAATCGCTTCCTTAGCAATGCGCTGAGGCACCGTTAGCTTCCTCAGCTGACCTAAGACGGAGGTTCTCTAAGTGCTGCAGTCTCGATGATTTTACGATCACCAGACATGTGTACGGCATGAAGCCTTTACACCAAGGCATAAAAAGGATCTTTTCATTTGCCTTTATATAAGTTTAGTATAAATAGAATGTTGCGCCCACTTTAGTGCTCAGTTCATTGTTTGCAGGGTGACCACCAAAGATAAGGACTACATATACTACAGGTTCGATGAAGGATTCTGCGAGGTGAGTATTGCCAAAGTTATTCGTACGCAAGACACAGCACACAGATGTACTGAAGTCGAGCTAGACTTCCACTTTGGAACAGTATCAAATACCATCGTAAACATCTGACAGAGACATACAAGCATTTGATTCCCAAACCTACTCAACTTGTCCATCAAAAATTACTGACTTGCCTTAACTTGCTTTTTCTCACAAGTGCTTCGATTTAAGATAATAAGAAACGAACGATGCTTCTAGAGCGCACACTTGATCTTTGGATACAAAATTTGAACTATATGTAATTCACTTCCGACTATGATTTATAGGAAGTTTTGGAATAATGTTTTACAATACATGTTATCAGATTTGGTGATGGGAGGCGTGCAAGTGGTACCCGGGCAGCCGACTGTTGCCACAGCCAGCCGCCAGAGCTGCCGGCAAAGCCGCTGCAGATGGTACAGTGATTACGCTCGTCTCTAAAACCCTTGCCGAGAGGTTTCCTCGCACCTCGTTGAGCCGAGGTGAGATACAGCCTCAGGGAGAGCGTGATATCCTCGATATCTATATCATCTCAAACAGCGGAAAATTTATATTACAATGAGTAGCATGCAGTATACGAAACTGTACCGGAAGGTTTCCAAAATTTGCAAACACTTACAAAAATCAATGATATAAATTTAAGGCATTTTGATTTCTTGGTTAAGCTGCTCCTACATCAGCATACGTGGCGTAATTTTACCTTCTATTAATGACCTACTCGACTTGTTTGACCTACTTTGGCTTATTCAGCTCGCTTAACATCACTAAGTTAAGACATTAGTACAGCCTTTTCACATTGTTTTATCCACAACTTGTCCTGTAGCTGTTCTTCGTTCCCCGTCGTTCAAAGCAAAAAAAAAAAGATTCCGGAAGTGAAGATTGCTTGAATTTTTTAGCTTCTGGTTTGATATTCAAAACGATTTGTTTGCGAACATTTTCCTCTAGAAAAAAGAATATCTTCCGTATTACTTTGTCTGTTTGCATGGTTCTCAAAAAATACGATTTCTTCGCTGTTCAAGACGATATAGATATCCAGGATATCAGCCTATCCGTGTGGCTGATATCGCACCTCAGCGCGTTTGGTGATTTTGTGATTTCTAGACCATCACAAAACCGAGGAGCAGCATATATTTCTCATGGTAATTGGTATATATTTATTAGGAATTTGCGTCAATTTTTAGATTTGATTATCTTGAACTATTTAAGCGCTCATAAATCTATCAATTCAGTCAGAAATTCCAAATACAACTCACCTCTTTCTTAGGACATAAATATTTCTACAATATTGGGTTGTTCCATTAGTCATTTTATAAGTGATTCTTTACTGCCATAAGCCATTTTCTCGTAAATTTCTCATGGTAATCGGTACATTTTTCGATAGAGCAAAAGAATCTCTACAAGATGACGTTTAAAGGATAACAACAAGTGTAATCCATACAAAGCTTGAATTCGGAATCTAAAAACACCAAAAAAAAACTTAGAAAAAACTATATTCACTAAGTATTCGTAATGTGACCCTATTTTGTTTTTTGATTTCTAGCCATGAAAGTTTCGACGAATGTTAGCATAACCATCGATGTAAAGATTATGAACCTGAGCCATTCAGAGGTCCATAAGGTTTCACTGAGTTGGGAACCGATTTTTCGTGCATTTGATAAATTTCTAATTTTGTCTTCAAACTTCACATGTATCAAACTTACTGGGACCGGGACGTCATCTTGTAGAATAAGGCATACTCTATCAATTAGTTGCTTACGCTCCAATTCGAACAGCGAAACCAACTTTCCTCGATATGAAGAACAACTTATGGGACAACCTAATAGTGAGAATCTGAGAAATATTATATTTTCAATTTACGACTGAGAAAAAAATTAGACATGTTAGTGTTGGAAGAAGGCTTCAAGTCGCCTCTTTTCCATGCATGCTTGTTACCACTGTGGGTAGATGCGTTCCATAAGAGCAAGAGGGTGGTTATTGCTACAAATGTTTTACTGCATTATTAAATTTGAACTATGCTTTCTTTGGGTTTTTAATTGGTTTTTTTTCATTAGTTTTGTGCATATTGATGTTTTTTTCTGTCGCTGAACAAAGTGCTGAATCAGAATACTTCAAAGTAATTCCTGGAATAGTTGTGCAAGGTTATGGGAGCTTTCGTTTCTAAACAAGCTCGAAGCCAACGCATGTAGAGCCGTGCTAAACTCACTCTTTTCGCACTTCGTGTTAGCCAGTCAAGCACAGCTTTGACCTTTGCCAACAAAAAAGAGAATGTGTCAGCTTTTCCCTTACGAGGGTAGCACAATTCCAGGTGTTCGAGATAAAATATTGAAAGTTTTTGCAACTGCCTTTACAGGAAGTTGGGTGCTATTTGGACAAGGATGGCGATGAATATTGTTGCTGCAATACAGATTTCTGCAATTATAACTTTACATCGATCACTACTACTATCTCCACACATAAGCCTTCGACTTTATCCACTAAAATGTCGCCTCGTAGTTCTAAAGCTTCACCTACACCACTATCTACAAATCCTCCTCCTTTCTCATCCCCGGCTTCATCAACAACTCTTTCAATATCGCAACCTATATTCAATTGTTACTTTTTCCTTGTACAGAGTGTTCTTATCATTTTGTACAACACAGCAGCATGCACCGTCTAGAATGTACTCATGAGAAATTTACTTTAAGCCCGTTTTCTTGAGCCGGTAAATTTTAGAAGTTTTGTTGTAAATGTACGAAGCTATGCGAAATTTATCCCAATCCAGTGATAACCCTTTTGTGTGCTAATGTTCAAGATGAGTCAACTAAAGAACCGTTATTTACCGTGTACCTGTACTTTCAGTAAAGCATGAGAAATTGAAGTTAGTTTGTTTATTTATGTCGCGCGAATGCTCTTCGGATAAAGATTGCTAGTCTTTTCCTTCGTTGACATCTTGCAGAATGATTTGAGTATAATGATAGGGCAGTAGTCTTCGACTAGGCATAAAGCCAAAAGTTATCACATTTTCAAAATCCTTGTTGTAATATTTGATCACCGAGAGTGAAGCGCTGCAACGCTAGCTGTGAATGACAAATAACATAAAGGACTGTTGAGCGGGTCTTAACGTTTTGGCAGCTGAATCAGACCTCTAGCTACAGCGTTGCACGGATTTTTGAAATGAAGAAAAGACATTGGCTGAACTGCCATGATTTTTGCTTTTTTTATCAACTTTTTTGATGAAGTTGTTTTTGTCTTATTCAAAGTTTACGATTCGTTGTGTACAAATATTGAACTCGATATGAGGAAGTTTTTATAACCTAAGAACACATGATGTATTATCTTATTTGAGACTTCGATCCCTTGTAAGGTTCACTCCAATATTCATAAGCTGACATCATAAGACATAACAATGACAGAAATTGCCGTTGCGAAACACTGCAAGTGAGATATGCGACCAAGGGAGGTCACAATTGCTCATAACTCCTTCAATTTCTTGAATAATTACGGATTATAATTAGTAAAGAGACAAGATTTTTTTCAAAAAGTATCATTTGTTGTCGTGTTGCCAAGAGTTTTCCAAAAGTAACGTGACATGACATCTCCTTGTAACAGATTATCATCTTACCCTGTGATAAGCCATCATAAAACAATAATTTCGTAATAAGTTGCGATAAGACATCGTGTGAACATAGTGCTACCCTTGCCAACTATCTCTTGACTGCAAAAAGAATGCTGCACGTAGAAGTCACGCAGTAACTTATCTGTGCAAATGGAACAACTTTTCAGTTTACATGGATTGTACCTAAAAGTGTCTGTAAACGGAATCCTTACGATATGTGCTATATGATCTAGAATGATAATGCTGCACAACCCTCAGGTAACTTGCAGTGCTGGCAATAACTCTTTACAAAGTCATTAAAGTGTAGAATGCGCTGAACACTAGCACCTCAAAAATTCATTGAATAAATAAACAATGCTATGTATGCTAACAATGTATTTCTTCTAAATAAGAAACGATACAACCTGTCACAGAACCGGCTGTTATACAACCGGCATTCTATGGAGTGGCCTAATTTCCATCAGTGGTCTCTGAATCAAATTGATATCTAGGTAATCTAGTAATTTTAAACTTTAAGGGTTTCAGTCCAAATAATCTGGTCAACCAGGCAAAACAATTAGTGAAGAATTTTTTCAAAATTTCATCACATAAGTAACAAATAAACAACCCTGGGAGAATGAGTTTTCCCACATGTCTTCGAGTAGCTTACATAAGTCTCAAAAAATGCGCAGGTGAATTGCTTTCATCTTCAGATAACTGACGTAATTTCTCAGATTCCTAAATTTTCAAACATAAGTGGTAATCAGTTTCAGTGTCTTGATAGATCATGTACTCGGATTGTTGAAATCATTTTCCTAGCAAGCAGCTGCTCAAGTACTGGTACGGTTCATCCAGTGAAAAGATGTGTTGAATAAACCTTGCCTTCAGCAGCCACTAGTGGTTGTTTACTGTTTGATTATCGAGCTTATTTTTACTTGGTGTAAAAAATATGTTTTAAGTGGTTTTCGGCCTCCACTGTTTGCCTCAAATTGGAATTTTTCCTAGCCATAACATCAACAAATGGATCAGCCATTGCTGCCGTCTAATAAGCTTAACCCGTTTGACTACTGTCTGTCTATCGGGCCAAGGAATTTATAAACTCCTACTTGGAGAATTCAGAATCCGTTAGCTCCTTAATAGTGAATATAAAGATCTGCTAAATACGATCAGGTCTGCACTACTCGCCAGTCGCTCGGACAATCGCCGGCTTCCTTCACTACTGCTTGCGACCCAACAGCCTCGATCCTTCTCGAATCCTTCGTTGTCTTTCGCTTATTTTTATTTCATTTTCTCTAATTTTACAAATACAAGAAAGTTGGCGATTTGGGCATGTCTTCACTAAAACTCACGCAAGGGTGATTATCCTACAGCACCAGCTGGACAGTAGATACATGTTCTAGATGGAAATAGTACAATGCAAATTGATTTCGATTGTTTATGCTTACCGTTGCTAGTTTGACTTACATGGATGAAAAAATGAATGTAAATAACTGCACCTTAAAATATTCTGTCCTCTCATATCAGTGCATCAATTAAAACTGTAAAAAAAGTCTTCGTAGTTTATGAACACATTTTATTGCTGCCTTTGGTCAGATGGCAACTGTTCTGGTCGCTAATGTCCTTTTTGCTATTTTCAGCAACTCTCATGCAATTTGGTGTTATGTAGGTAAAAATTTACATTTATTTGTTACCTGCACTTCAACGAAAATACAAAAATGAAACATCATGGTTAAGAAAAATGCTATTCTGAAACCAAACGTGCGTTATCAAAGGCAAATCATCGGAAAACGTCAATTAATGAGAGTTTGGATTTTGAGTGATAAAAACTTCAATGAATCTTGTTCTTTGCGTTTTTCTCCCCTATTTCTTGTGCTTCCTGTAGTTGATTGCAAGTTTTTAGAGGATGATTAGCAGCACATTATATAAGTTCCTTGAAAGCTTGCCTGAGACTTAAGCCAGTTTTTTCCTCTCTTTGTTACGGCGTTTAGCGATGCAAAAAAAAGAGAAATTTTGCGATAATCTCAAGTGCAGTCAAAAGAACTTTTTCCGACATTGAGTGCTCTTGGAGTCTCTAAACGGAAAAGTAAGAAAAAAGATAAGTAAGGCAGACATTTGAAGCTTACAATGTACCAAAAATGTTGTTTTGCTTGGTTATGTTACAGTATAATAAGTTTAATTTTCAAAGATCAGATACTGAACATTGAAAAAGCTCATCGTTACAGTGTTTAATTATGATAATAATCTCTTTAGTTACGGTAAGAGCCTTTGTCTGTTGCACACATGAGGGCAGGACAGAAGCGATAACTGCGTCAGCTCATATATCAATAAGGGTAAAGGTATAGTAAAGGGTTTCCTTCATTACTGTAGGATTACGGTGGAAAGAAATTATCGCCTTTATCAAAGCAAAACCCGTTATGATGAATGCTGGCATTTAAGGTAAAAATCTGAAGACCTTGAATATGTTGGCGATAAAGAGTCTCAGAAATTTCAAGGCTTTCTACACTTCTGGAAGGCCGCTCAAGCCATGTAATTAGAGTTTAAGGATCTGAAAAAAAAAACAACTATTGCGGCATATCTGAGTTGACTTCTGAAACAGTGTTATTACCGTCATGTATAAATCGAGTACATTGGAAGTGCAATTCTGATTTGACTGTTTTCAAGTTTTTCTCACGTCAGAATATTCTAAGAAACAAAAGTTGTCGTTGCGAAGGCCTATTGAAGGCAGTAATTCGGGAAAATTGCGACTGCGGGCTTCCCATGACTACATGGCCTTTTGGACCAGCTGAGTCCGGTACTGCGCTTGAAAAGTCAAAAAAGTGCTTTTTTAGCTTTTCCGGACTTGGAGATTGCTGGGGAGGCGGAGCGAGGGATTCACCCTAAAATGAGCACCCGGCTGCCGAAGACTGTAACTCCACCTATTTTGGCGGCAAACTGTATCGCATGGCTGCCTAGGCTGATCAGCCAATTACCGCCAAAATAGGTAGAGTTACATCTCCAGCAGACAGTTGCTCCTTTTGGGGTGAATCCCTCCCCTTCTCCAGCAATTTCCGAGGCTCGGAATCGCCAAAAAGCACTTTTTTTGACCTTTCAAGCACAGTACTGGACTTAGCTGGTCCAGAAGGCCATGTAGTTGTATGAAGCCCGTAGTCGCAATTTTCCCGAGCCACTGCCTTTGAGTAGAGTTTTTTCTGCACTGAACACAAGTGCACTAATCATGTTATCAAATAAAATTTCCTACCTTCTACTTCGCTAGTTTTCATGTCTTTAAGGTGAAACCAAAAACAACTCCACTGATATACACCCATGGGACAGCCCAGCGAATTTTTGCTACAGGTCAGCATGATTCCGACTGCCTTATTTAGCTATTTTGGTTTTTTTAGATGATAATAGCAATCAGCTGCAAACTCTGTTCGCGATTCATCTTAGCCTACCTTAGGAGTAGTAACCATGTCTGCAGAAAGTGCTCCCATCATATTCTGAAAAAATTAGTATCAGCTTGTATAGTATCAAACTCGTTGTAAATCTTTACTTACCTCTACCTTTACCTTTATCTTTATTTACCTTTACTTTACGTTTTTGCTCAATCTAATGTGTTCATCGGCTAGGTTTGAGACTTCTTTTGAATATAGTTAGAACCACTGAAACAATGTTTGCCTAAAGAAAGGGGCGAAACGAAATTCTCAGCATTATAATGTTTTTATAATTAATTAAACCTGTTGCGTTTTACGATCGTAAAATATGAGTGCGACAAACACACTAACATGGTACTCTATGCTGCGGAAAAACAAATTTTCCAATCCATCTGCCTCGATATCACTCTGAAAGAGGGGGACGCAATTACTATAGTGCTCATTTCAATGTTTCCAGGATGACTACTAAAAGTAGAGATTACATATACTACATGTTCGATAATGGCATCTGCGAGGTGAGCGTTAGCATCACTAGTACCAAATCAATTCATTTTCCATTTTCGTGCGACCAACAAGCTGTTAATCTTTTTTCATTAATTGCTGGCACGAAATTTCAAGAGGGTTTACGATAAAATACGGAAATTTCTGCAATTGCCTTTACAGGGGGAGAGGGTTGAGTGCTGGTTGGACGAGGATGAAGCCGAATGGTGCTGCTGCAATACAGACCTGTGCAACTATAATTTTACATTACCCACCACTATATCATCTTCACTTACGAGTAAACCCACTGATGTATCACCTATTCATAGCTCTACACCTTCATTTACTATATCTACACATTCTTCTCTTTCCTCAATCCCGGCTCCAGCAACCACTTCTTCATTATCGCAACTTATATTCGATGGTTACTTTTTCTTTGTACAGAGTGTTTTTATCATTTTGTACAAAATGGCAACATATATCTAGAAAGTACGCGTGAGTGATTCATTTTGCACCAGCTTTAACAGGGTTGTTTCAAAAGTTCTACCCGTTTTCGATACCTTTTTTTGAATTGCCGATTTTGGAGAAAGAAACCATTTTTCATAAACAATGCTTACAACATTCAAAAGCTCTTTACTTCTAGTTTTTCAGGCATATTTTCATTTACATATGTCTTTGTTCGCTGTGTGGTTGCGTACTTTGAAAGGACAGCGAAACAAATGTGAAAACTCTCGTCTTTGCTCTATCGCCGTGACATCTACAGCCAAAAGAAACAATTTCTTCTAAAACATACATAATTTTTGCTGGAGACTTGTGCTACGATTCAGAAAAATTTTGAACCTACAAATTTTAGTACAAACATAACCTGTTTCTATGGTTCCTTCAGGTCGCATAAAAATCGTAAACATATTGCAATCGCGGAACGTTTACTCTATATGGTAAAATTTGAGCTAGAACAACTGCTACTAGAAGAGGGAAAGATTTCCTGGTTTGTCAACGGCGAACAAAATCAAAAATTTCAAAAATTTGCATTTTTGCCGCCTCAGAAAGAGCAAAATAAGTGGGTCCTTTCGGATTTTTCAGTACAAAACTTTTATAAAAGAGTTTGATCAAATACAAAGTTAGCGGTACTGCTCAGTCGAATATGGGCTACACTGTGAGCAGTGCTTTTGCAACTCAGCTATATTCCAAATCAAGTTATGCTTTTGCAAAGTGAAGGTTTCTACAAGGAGATGTTCCTCTATTTTCGCCTATAAAACCTCCACAGTTACTGCAATACCTTAAAGAATGCGCAGAATAGCCAAAGATTTGTAGATTGTAATACAGTTATAGCAATTGCAAAGATTATTTCTGAGAAGAGTTACGGTGAATCCAATTCAAAGTTCGAAAACGGGTAGAACTTTTGAAACAACCCAATACAAAGATAGCAACAAACACTCCATTTCTGTAATAACCCAATGTGCTTATCTTGTTCTAATGACTTGACTTACTGAAATTCTGACTCGATACTGATTAATAAATCGTTGCTGATTATAAATCATTGTGCATTTGGAAACTCGGTGAATAGAAAAGTCAAGTTGGTTTGTCTTATTGCGAGCGGATGCTCTACAAAATAATGATTACTAATCCTTCCCTTTGTTATCGTGCAGAATGTTTCTTCTAATGGTACGACAGTGTGTATCAGACTTGTATAACCAAAAACTCACATTTTCTGAAGTCTTGTTTCAACATTTGAAATGATCGTAAATAAGACAGAGCAGCGCTCTAGAGCACGTTCCAAATAACAAGTAAGAAAAGCACTAACGAACGGGGTGCTACTAGTTTGTAGCTAAATCAGACGTCTAGCTACAGCGTTGCACGAACTGATGAAATAAAAAGTAGAAAAGATATCAAGTAATTTGCTGCAATTTTTGCTGTGGTAATAATCTTTCATTGACGAACTGCTTTTTGTATGCACTTCCGCTGCTTATGATACAATCCGTGAAAACTTTGAACTCAACGGGTAGTCCTATTACCTAATGACGCATAATATATCTTTACTGAAAGTTGCAACAATTTTGAGTATTAGTACTCCCATAGCTGACATAATGAGACATAAGTGTTGTGAAAGTTTGCCTCTTGCGAAACACTTTATGTTCAGCCAAAAAAGGTAGCTACTTACGCAGAGCTTCTTCAACTGCTTGATTTATATATGTCATGGGATCGAATTTTCTATCATTTATTGTAAGGGCGGCAAAGTTTTTTGTTTTCTTCGAAAAAAGTACTCACCGTCAGGGTTTTTCTAAAGGTAACGTGACTTATTACTGCCTTGTGACAGACTACCACCTTACTATTGTTAAGCCACCATAAAGCAATAATTTTATATTGAGCTGCATCGTGTAACTTCAAATATGCACGTAGTACGACTACTCAACGACTACGATTGAAACAATCACATTTTTACAATAGTAATCAGATCAGCAGCCAAAAAAATGAAAAATCGCTTTCCAATTCTGCAGCGTATGAACTTCGTAACTGTAGAGTCATTGCCGTGATTACGACCTCTTCAAAAACGAAGATCCGAGCAGTAGTCACAGTCATTACCCACATCAATGGCCACTTTGTTCAGCGGCATTTCTGCTATTCGCATATAAATAGCGGGAAAGCGGGGTAAAGCTCTAAATTATCTGCGGAATAATCGTTTTGCAAATTTGAGGCAGTAACCTTTCAAAGACCATATGGGCAATATATATTCAAATTGTCATTGAGTTTCCGTTATTGCCTTCTGAATTATACTATTTCTGTGGCTGTACTGCATTTTCAAATAAATCTTTTGAAAATAATCCTAATACTCATTATTCATATTAGGTTGTTCCGAAAGTTCTATCGCTTATTCTAAAAAATTCGTAACTGCTCGGTATATGAACGTGCTTATTTATGAAAAATGTCACCAGACAGAAAAATTTATCTAGCTTCTAAAGGCATCTTTGCTGCTCTTTGACAACAGGGAAAACAAAAGATAAAAATTAGAAAAGGAGGCCACTAAGTCCCATCCCACTTCTCAAAAAGAAATCGTCAAAAACCTGAAATGCTGCAGAAAAATTTGAGAGCATGCTTCTTTCAGGTTTTTAAGCTGCTCTTTCCAACAGTGTCAACTTTGTATTGACTGAGCCTTTCTACGAAAGGTTATGGTTTTCGTAAAAAATGCAAAAAACAACGAAAATAATTTCTGCATTATTCATAACAGTCATGACTTTCTACAGAAAGGCTCAATCAACACAAATTTGGCACTGCTGGTTACGATTTTTTGAAAAACTGGCGAACGAACTTTTGCACCCACCTAATATATTAGGTTGGCTAGAAAGTTCTTGCGTAATTCAAACAAAATTCAATAACTTTTTAATGACTAAACCTAAATTCACAATCTTGTTCTCTGAAAATATTAGAAGGCCTGCGCTCCAAAATGGATGTTTAAGCGCAAGATTTCATGAGCTAGTCCCCGAGAACGAAGCTCTCAAATATGGGACTTCAAAATTTGCAATTTTGAGTTTGGTGCCAGAAAATCGCAGAGTGTCGCTAGTTAGCCGAAAAAAATCTGTAAAAATTACTTACACTGCAGAAGTCCATAAGTTACTTTGGAAGGCTTTGATCTTGCACGGTGAAGCAAAAACAAAAAATTCGTGAAATAGTCATTTTGCGGAAAAAATCCACTCATTACCGCAGTTTTTCGGCAAAAACTATTTTTTACACTCCAAAAAAACGTCGCAAAGTTCTAAATAGGCAATATGTCTTATTTCTGTTTGCAAACTGTGTTGTTGTGGAAAAATTACATCGATAAGGGGATTTATCCTGTAAAATGACAAATTCCACAAATTTTTTGTTTTCGCATTCCCATGCGAGTTTGAAGCCTGCTAAAATAACGCATGGGCTTTTGCAGTGTAATTAATTTTTACAGATTTTTTTTCGGCTAGCTAGCGACACTCTGCGATTTTCTGGCACCAAACTCAAAATTGCAAATTTTGAAGTCCCATATTTGAGAGCTTCGTTCTCGGGGACTAGCTCATGAAATCTTGCGCTTAAACATCCATTTTGGAGCGCAGGCCTTCTAATGTTTTTAGAGAACAAGATTGTGAGTTTAGGTTTAGTCATTGAAAAGTTATTGAATTTTGTTTGAATTACGCAAGAACTTTCTAGCCAACCTAATATAAGATTTATTCAGCCTTTTCAAAGCTCAACACATTTGCTAAGACAACTCTCGTATGCCTTACCCCTTTCCCATAAAAAATTGGATTTTGAGTCAAAATTTTCTTCGACAGCGGTTTTAACTTCTCCATTGTTTGGAAACTGAATTCCACCCAAGTGGGACTCGAGGTTTTCAAAAAAAGGAAGCTGAGGCCGATCTGGAGAGTATGGGAGATTGTTGATCAATTTGTAACACAGCTCTTAGAATTTCAACGTGCTACGCAGGACTTGTAGACGGTTTCGCCGTCTTGATGAAAAACTACTTTATTCTTAGAGTAGGGATCTTTTGGAGAGATTGTTCTTATGGAGACGATCCTAAAATCTGACATAATGCTTGTCATAGACCGTTTTGCCCGCTTCAAAGTAGTCGATCATCGGAGTCCTCCTGGAATCCCAAGCGTAGCCAGAATCTTTCGAGTTCGGTTTTTTCACTGGCAGTATAGCTTTAAAGTTGGTTTTGCTTTTTCCTCTGGTAGTAGAAATTCGCGACATTTTTTTTTTGGATTTTTCACAGTAATGGTGGACTTATGCTTTGTCTACGGCCGAATCGCCTTCAACACTCCTAAGATTTCTCCGGACTTGGTCAAAACCTCATTAGATACCAAGATGCAAGTCGGCTTTTCTAAAATAGTGAGCGCTTGTCGCACTTTATGAGGTCTAGAGCTTCTTTATCTGCAGATTTTCGTGAATGAGACTGTGTATTTACTCGCTTCACGCTGATAACCAAAGAATTGGCTACCTGATACTTAAAGACGATTGTGCATCGTTAAATGTATCACTGTAACATGTTACACTTCGCTCAAACTGTCTTTATTAATTGCCGTTCGAGCAGGCAGGGCAAAGCAGATTTTTTGTGTTGGTTTGAACACCTAAGTAGCATTTTTTTCACAGTGCTAAATGAAAAAGCATGCTGTCAAACTCACCTTTCACTTCGATAGCGTTGACTATGGAGGTGCTTGATAATCGCACAAGTTCCCTGCAACTATGGTTGCAATCATTCACTTTTCCACTCATATAAATGAGCGACAGAAAATAAAATGCTAATTTCTTGTTGTTTTCGGATCCTTTAGCTTGAGTGTACAAGAAAAAAGTTTCACAAAATTCAAATTCGATGTATTTAAAGGCAGTGTTCGAGCAAAATCGATTTATAGAAAATCCACTTCGGAATTCTAAGAACTTACCGGGGGTTATTCGCCACGCTGAATCTGAAAATCTACATTAGAAGGCGCGAAAAGGGTGAGAACATGCGTTTTTCAAAGCCTTTCATTTCGAAATCCGACGGTCCCCGCCAAGGTTGAGACGCAGAGTAAGCGGGACCCTACGTTAGACAGTGGCGGCATGCGTACACTACCGCAGAACAGGAATTTAAAACAGATGGAGAACGCCGCCCTAAGGCGCAAGTTTCAAAGAAACCGCAGCTCAGGGATATATTTACTATCTCAATTTCACGAGTACAAGAGTATCCACCTGTTTTCTTTTCTCAAGACTCTATTAGCCTGAACACATCAATTAATTTTTGAACCAAAGGACCCTTTACGTTCTGCCATATCTAAAAGAAGTTTGTGGGAGATCCATTTTGCGAAGTGCAGTCGTGCTGCCATGCTGCCTGCTTGAAAAATGAAAGAGGTGCGTCGTGTACTGTGAGATTAATGAAGAGTCCTCAAAAAGTTCGCAAATAACCTCTAATTGTAAATCACTTATCTACATCACAGACATGCAAATAAAGACAGATAGGTACAATTGTCGACTTGAAGTATTGGGAACAAAGAAGGCTACATATTAGTAGTACGATAGTGCGATAGATCAGCAAGTTTGCTAAGATAAATTTTGTATTTTATAATACCTTTACTTAGCTTGGATAAAATGGTGCGGTATTTTCTTTGTGGACTCAAAAAGTTTGCAGAATAGGATCTTGGTGACCGTACTCTTTTGATATGTGATATCCTGATATCCTCGCATCTGATGAGTTTGCCTAAGAATGCTAGTGATGTCGAATGGTCTTGGCCAGCTCCATCATTTTTGCACAATAGATGTCAGTTTGATCTCTGTCGGTGCAACTATTAGGTTGTTTGAAAATTAATGCAGGTTTTGCACATACTCACTTCAAAGCGTCATAACTCCTTTAAGTCTGCATATTTTAGAATGAGGTAAAAAATACTGTGATCAGCAAGTCTTTTTCTATTTGCTCCATTTTCTTATGTAACTGTAGCTCCAACAAGCAGATTACTGGCAGCCAGAAAGTAAAAAGAAATTTTTTGACAAGGTCATACTTGGCAAGTTGTAAACTCCTACCGAGTATGAGTGTTCAGAAACTTCTGTAGCTTATAGCCACGGAAAAGTACTACATATATAGCTATGCAGAAGATTTTTTAGAGATCTTCTGCGAAAGAAAAATTTGTGGAATCAAAATTTTCCATTTTTCGATATTTTCTCCACGGCTGAGATCTCCGATAATTTTGACTTTTTTATTAACTCATCAAAAATAAGCCTGGGAGGTACCGGTTGAGATAATATTTGACGGCACTGGCCTCACTCTTTGAGTACGAGGAGAGACTTTCACGATTTTCTTTAGAAAAGTTTTCTACGCCATGAAGTGGCCGCGACAATTATTTACACTAAAGCCTCAGTTTCTCTACTCTCATAATCGTTCAAAAGAAGCGCTGCTATCTGTTTTGTAAATTCACTCAATGTCTTGCTTCAGCTATATTATCATGGAAATACCCCCCTTGCCGAATAAGCTCAAGCCAAAATAGTGCAAAGGGTAAATTTAATAATTTGAAGCTTCATCTTCGGATGGTTGTAGATTTTGAACAAACGAAGTTGGTCGTAGAAGTAGTATATATAAGAGAGAGCAGGAAGAGCGGCTTCTTCTAGTATGCGAATTTGGTCGAAAGATGGACATACACAGAAGGACGATCCTCTTGAAACTGCATTTGCAGAAACCTGCATTAATTACCGGACAACCTAATACTTTTCGTAAGCTTTCACAACCGCTATTTTTCTCACAAAAGCGCTGCACAAGTAACGAACGTAGTTTTGAGATTAACGTTTCAAGACGAGCATTCTTGTATGCAACATTTTCAAAAGTCACGGTTACAAGATGGAATTTACAGGGTTGGGGGAATTCTTTGAACACGGTATTTTCAACGTAATAATGAAGCTAGACAAGATGATCACATGAAATCAATAGGTAATGTTTATGCTACACAAAAGTGGCTTTACAATTCAAAAATTATTCCTCTGACGCTAGCACAAGCTCGGAAACGCTTGGAAACGCTGTCTATGGTGGCACGGAGGTGCTTCGCGTCGATTTCTTCCAACGCTTTCTGAAGAGCAAGTTGCAGAGACCTCCACTGTTTTGCGTGAGTGAGCGCAGGCTTCGGCCTAAAGAACTGACCAGACCCTATAGTCGAGAGGATTCAGACTGGGCGAAAACGAGGCTATTCCGCAAAAGTAGCGAAGACCTTAAAGTTGTTTTGGAGCCAAGTTTGAACAACATTCGCTTTGTGCGCAGGTGCGGTACCTGCTGGAAGCACCAATCTTTCCCTGCAAAGTGGATTTTGGTCTACGGCATCAGTTGCTTCATCAGAATGCTATCCAACTATGTAGCAGCGTCCACCTTGATGCCCTGAGGCGCTGAGATCAGTGGCATCTTACCGCCGGAAGTGATCGCCACCCAAACCATCAGAAAAACCGGATGAGACTCTTCTTTGGCAGGTCAACCCCTGCTGATGGCTTCTCAGAGCGAATAGGATATGATTCTCATGTTTTGGAGATTGAAAACCTGTTTTACGGTAAGAATTTTATCGTCAGAAAAGAGTGCCGTTCTGTGGCATGTCTTGGAGAAACGTTCAAGCAGTTGATGGCTTCTGCGCAGTCAATTCAGCTTCGTGTCCTCCCAAAAAGCATGAAAATTTAGCATCCTGAAAAGCTTCGTCGCAGGGCCCTCTTTTACGATGTCGGAGACTGTCTTGCCAGAAATGGACCGCTCTGAAAACAGCTCAATCAAGCTTTGTCGAGGATTGCGACGAAGGCGTTGGCAAACGATTTTCAAAATTTCGTTACTGTCCACAGTAGCCAATTTACCACTCATACAACACTCCTGGGTGCTGTTGATATCCTGGAAACGACGCAAGATGGAAAAGACCCTGATCTGTAAAATTTAGGGAACCCTCGCTTTTTACTGGTCAGCCATCCTCTCCTCGTGCATCTCCTCCACCAACGCTCGCTCCTTTCCAGAAGGCATATCTCCGACAGGAAGAAAGCTAGTAGTCCAGTTTTTTGGGCTTGTACTCAAGAGTTTAGGAAGCAAAAACATATAATTAGCATACAAAAATTTGTGGAAAAGCCGAACATACAAGGGCATCAAAAATTGTTCAAGGATTTTCCCCAACCCTGTTTACTTGCAAAGGTCTACTTTATAGAGCTTATTTTTTGCGTTATATACAAATGTGATCTTCCAAGTGAAATTTTTGCTTTCTATTTTGCCTATACTATGTTTGTTTAGGTGAAACGAAAAACAACATTACGGAAGTATGGGAACATGAAGACAGCCAAGGGCGCTTCTGCTACAGGTTAGTGAATTTCCGACTGCCTCAATTGTAAAACTTTGTTTACTTGAGGTCTTATAACAGTGAAAAAGATGCAAACTCTGACTGAGGTTCATCTTACTACATCAGGAGTACGTGATTGTGTGTGCCCAAAGAGGATTAAATAATCGCGTTTTTCGATGATTTGTGGAGGAGCGGAAGTAAAGGTTACGAAGAAACGGAAAACATCCAAAAATTTTCGTCAATTGATCTCGAATTCAAAACAAAAACAATACTTTAGAATAAATAACAAATATCAATAATAACCATTGAAAAAATATCAAAGCTGTGTGTGTATGTATGTGTGCATGTGTGTGTATGTGTGTATGTGTGTGTTGTGTGTGTGTTGTGTGTGTGTGTGTAATCGATCCAAACTTTGCGCACATACACTGGTAGCGCAGGCTACTTTGGGTATCGACAGATAACAATAGTAACATATCTATCAAATTTTTTGCAAAAATTGAGCTAAGTAGTTGTGAGTTGGCACATTGAGCAAGTGAGCATGGCTGTATCGCGTAGATGAAACAGTTTGGACAAAGAGATGTTGTTAAAAATCTTCGAGGCGAAAAAAATGCTTCAATAAACGTTTGGAATGCCATGTCAAAATTGAACTGGAACACGTTGATTTTTCTTCTGACAAGGGAAAGAGGGTCGGTCGAATGTGGCTCTCTGAGATGCGCATTACGCTGATTTTAGACTAATCTTGCATTCAAGTTTTGCACCAAAAAAACTTCAAGTTCTCGCCCAGAGGCCCGCACCAGATAGCAAAGGCAGATTTGGAATTAACGTTCCAAGCTCTACAAGATAGTGTACATCACATTTTAGAAGGCCACTTCAACCAACGTTCCTCTTCTTGTAAGACGTTGCTGGTAGACAGCCTTCACAGTGCTTTCGAAAATTTCTTTTCAAACTAAAGCACTTTTCGAAAACTTTTGGGAGATGGGTCTAGATAGAAGAGTGCCCAAATTTCTTCTCAGCGTGTAAGAACGATGGCGTTTTAGTTTTCGTTTTTCTTTGAATTTGTCCTTATTTTCACGCTACTTATTCAGTAACAATAGCAACTAATTTGGCGTAAATTCCAACTTGAAAAACGTTCATCACCAAAGTGTATCTTTGTTGTTCTCACGTTTTCATTTTCTCTCAAATATTTCCCTGTACATCAGGTTCTCTTTTCGCGACTAGAATCTAGCGACCGACCTAACACTAGCTGATTCCATTATAAGTCACGGAACATGTTATCAAAACATGCAGTACTTGCACGATATGTCATCGCCTTTCATAAAATGAGGAAAGTTTGCCGGTCTAGTCAATAAGACCAGCAGGAAAATCTCAGCCACACATCCAAATGTCTTTTTGCGCCCATCAAATTGACATCGGAAGAGCGGATCACTTTTGGAGTGGTTGTAGGAGTTGATAAGCAGTTGGATCCAGATCAAACGTCCATCGAACTTGAGTCTAACACTGAGCAATCTTGACCTTTATAAAATTGCCCAAATCTATTTCCTTATCAGTCTCCCAAAGCTCATGCCCTACATCCGACAACAGCGGTTCGAGCATCCCCACAATTTTCTTAATATCTTCTCTGCTTCTAATATGGTGATCGATCTGCTGCGCACAGAAGGATCATGCGGTTGTAACGGACATTTCTTTTGCGCTGCAGACGGGCATAAAAAAGAAGGGGGCCTGTGTTTAAAGATCAACGATCGCAATGAGCTTGTTCGCATTTTTGCAAAGTGCGCGCTTGCAATAAAGTTCAGAGATGAACCTCTTGATATGGCGAAATCCTTCGCGCCACTAAGGCCTCGAACCTGATATACATGACACCAAACGCCTGCTTCCTTACTGCTCTACTGATTGAGTTAGTACCCGGTTCCCTGCAACGGCTAATTCAGCGTTTCAAAGCAGTGTAGGCATGCATGATTCAATAACACAAGTATGCACAATCAAAAGCTTACTCATATGATACCTACGCATAATCAAAACGCAATTATAGCACTGTGCAAAAAAAGAATGAATTGTTTGCAAAAGGAAGAAAAGGCAATAAGCAATAGTGCGCAAGAAAATTTGGCGTCGCATTGTAAGTCGACATGGCTGTCGTGCATCAGTGGCATTTCTGCCGGTCACTGACGCACGGCCGCTCGACCTACAATACATACATAACGCCAAATCACACGACTGCGATGTCGACTTGAATGAAAAAATTTTTTGGCTACCACAAGAACATTAAACTGCGCAGGACCGAAACCTTCAACAGTCCAAACATCATGCCGACCTTCCGCCACTCCACTGTGCTCGGTGCTGTTCTTTTCATAAGGTTATTAAAGTTTTGTACCATGATTGGATGGGGATTTTCTGATCAATCGCTTCCTTAGCAATGCGCTGAGGCACCGTTAGCTTCCTCAGCTGACCTAAGACGGAGGTTCTCTAAGTGCTGCAGTCTCGATGATTTTACGATCACCAGACATGTGTACGGCATGAAGCCTTTACACCAAGGCATAAAAAGGATCTTTTCATTTGCCTTTATATAAGTTTAGTATAAATAGAATGTTGCGCCCACTTTAGTGCTCAGTTCATTGTTTGCAGGGTGACCACCAAAGATAAGGACTACATATACTACAGGTTCGATGAAGGATTCTGCGAGGTGAGTATTGCCAAAGTTATTCGTACGCAAGACACAGCACACAGATGTACTGAAGTCGAGCTAGACTTCCACTTTGGAACAGTATCAAATACCATCGTAAACATCTGACAGAGACATACAAGCATTTGATTCCCAAACCTACTCAACTTGTCCATCAAAAATTACTGACTTGCCTTAACTTGCTTTTTCTCACAAGTGCTTCGATTTAAGATAATAAGAAACGAACGATGCTTCTAGAGCGCACACTTGATCTTTGGATACAAAATTTGAACTATATGTAATTCACTTCCGACTATGATTTATAGGAAGTTTTGGAATAATGTTTTACAATACATGTTATCAGATTTGGTGATGGGAGGCGTGCAAGTGGTACCCGGGCAGCCGACTGTTGCCACAGCCAGCCGCCAGAGCTGCCGGCAAAGCCGCTGCAGATGGTACAGTGATTACGCTCGTCTCTAAAACCCTTGCCGAGAGGTTTCCTCGCACCTCGTTGAGCCGAGGTGAGATACAGCCTCAGGGAGAGCGTGATATCCTCGATATCTATATCATCTCAAACAGCGGAAAATTTATATTACAATGAGTAGCATGCAGTATACGAAACTGTACCGGAAGGTTTCCAAAATTTGCAAACACTTACAAAAATCAATGATATAAATTTAAGGCATTTTGATTTCTTGGTTAAGCTGCTCCTACATCAGCATACGTGGCGTAATTTTACCTTCTATTAATGACCTACTCGACTTGTTTGACCTACTTTGGCTTATTCAGCTCGCTTAACATCACTAAGTTAAGACATTAGTACAGCCTTTTCACATTGTTTTATCCACAACTTGTCCTGTAGCTGTTCTTCGTTCCCCGTCGTTCAAAGCAAAAAAAAAAAGATTCCGGAAGTGAAGATTGCTTGAATTTTTTAGCTTCTGGTTTGATATTCAAAACGATTTGTTTGCGAACATTTTCCTCTAGAAAAAAGAATATCTTCCGTATTACTTTGTCTGTTTGCATGGTTCTCAAAAAATACGATTTCTTCGCTGTTCAAGACGATATAGATATCCAGGATATCAGCCTATCCGTGTGGCTGATATCGCACCTCAGCGCGTTTGGTGATTTTGTGATTTCTAGACCATCACAAAACCGAGGAGCAGCATATATTTCTCATGGTAATTGGTATATATTTATTAGGAATTTGCGTCAATTTTTAGATTTGATTATCTTGAACTATTTAAGCGCTCATAAATCTATCAATTCAGTCAGAAATTCCAAATACAACTCACCTCTTTCTTAGGACATAAATATTTCTACAATATTGGGTTGTTCCATTAGTCATTTTATAAGTGATTCTTTACTGCCATAAGCCATTTTCTCGTAAATTTCTCATGGTAATCGGTACATTTTTCGATAGAGCAAAAGAATCTCTACAAGATGACGTTTAAAGGATAACAACAAGTGTAATCCATACAAAGCTTGAATTCGGAATCTAAAAACACCAAAAAAAAACTTAGAAAAAACTATATTCACTAAGTATTCGTAATGTGACCCTATTTTGTTTTTTGATTTCTAGCCATGAAAGTTTCGACGAATGTTAGCATAACCATCGATGTAAAGATTATGAACCTGAGCCATTCAGAGGTCCATAAGGTTTCACTGAGTTGGGAACCGATTTTTCGTGCATTTGATAAATTTCTAATTTTGTCTTCAAACTTCACATGTATCAAACTTACTGGGACCGGGACGTCATCTTGTAGAATAAGGCATACTCTATCAATTAGTTGCTTACGCTCCAATTCGAACAGCGAAACCAACTTTCCTCGATATGAAGAACAACTTATGGGACAACCTAATAGTGAGAATCTGAGAAATATTATATTTTCAATTTACGACTGAGAAAAAAATTAGACATGTTAGTGTTGGAAGAAGGCTTCAAGTCGCCTCTTTTCCATGCATGCTTGTTACCACTGTGGGTAGATGCGTTCCATAAGAGCAAGAGGGTGGTTATTGCTACAAATGTTTTACTGCATTATTAAATTTGAACTATGCTTTCTTTGGGTTTTTAATTGGTTTTTTTTCATTAGTTTTGTGCATATTGATGTTTTTTTCTGTCGCTGAACAAAGTGCTGAATCAGAATACTTCAAAGTAATTCCTGGAATAGTTGTGCAAGGTTATGGGAGCTTTCGTTTCTAAACAAGCTCGAAGCCAACGCATGTAGAGCCGTGCTAAACTCACTCTTTTCGCACTTCGTGTTAGCCAGTCAAGCACAGCTTTGACCTTTGCCAACAAAAAAGAGAATGTGTCAGCTTTTCCCTTACGAGGGTAGCACAATTCCAGGTGTTCGAGATAAAATATTGAAAGTTTTTGCAACTGCCTTTACAGGAAGTTGGGTGCTATTTGGACAAGGATGGCGATGAATATTGTTGCTGCAATACAGATTTCTGCAATTATAACTTTACATCGATCACTACTACTATCTCCACACATAAGCCTTCGACTTTATCCACTAAAATGTCGCCTCGTAGTTCTAAAGCTTCACCTACACCACTATCTACAAATCCTCCTCCTTTCTCATCCCCGGCTTCATCAACAACTCTTTCAATATCGCAACCTATATTCAATTGTTACTTTTTCCTTGTACAGAGTGTTCTTATCATTTTGTACAACACAGCAGCATGCACCGTCTAGAATGTACTCATGAGAAATTTACTTTAAGCCCGTTTTCTTGAGCCGGTAAATTTTAGAAGTTTTGTTGTAAATGTACGAAGCTATGCGAAATTTATCCCAATCCAGTGATAACCCTTTTGTGTGCTAATGTTCAAGATGAGTCAACTAAAGAACCGTTATTTACCGTGTACCTGTACTTTCAGTAAAGCATGAGAAATTGAAGTTAGTTTGTTTATTTATGTCGCGCGAATGCTCTTCGGATAAAGATTGCTAGTCTTTTCCTTCGTTGACATCTTGCAGAATGATTTGAGTATAATGATAGGGCAGTAGTCTTCGACTAGGCATAAAGCCAAAAGTTATCACATTTTCAAAATCCTTGTTGTAATATTTGATCACCGAGAGTGAAGCGCTGCAACGCTAGCTGTGAATGACAAATAACATAAAGGACTGTTGAGCGGGTCTTAACGTTTTGGCAGCTGAATCAGACCTCTAGCTACAGCGTTGCACGGATTTTTGAAATGAAGAAAAGACATTGGCTGAACTGCCATGATTTTTGCTTTTTTTATCAACTTTTTTGATGAAGTTGTTTTTGTCTTATTCAAAGTTTACGATTCGTTGTGTACAAATATTGAACTCGATATGAGGAAGTTTTTATAACCTAAGAACACATGATGTATTATCTTATTTGAGACTTCGATCCCTTGTAAGGTTCACTCCAATATTCATAAGCTGACATCATAAGACATAACAATGACAGAAATTGCCGTTGCGAAACACTGCAAGTGAGATATGCGACCAAGGGAGGTCACAATTGCTCATAACTCCTTCAATTTCTTGAATAATTACGGATTATAATTAGTAAAGAGACAAGATTTTTTTCAAAAAGTATCATTTGTTGTCGTGTTGCCAAGAGTTTTCCAAAAGTAACGTGACATGACATCTCCTTGTAACAGATTATCATCTTACCCTGTGATAAGCCATCATAAAACAATAATTTCGTAATAAGTTGCGATAAGACATCGTGTGAACATAGTGCTACCCTTGCCAACTATCTCTTGACTGCAAAAAGAATGCTGCACGTAGAAGTCACGCAGTAACTTATCTGTGCAAATGGAACAACTTTTCAGTTTACATGGATTGTACCTAAAAGTGTCTGTAAACGGAATCCTTACGATATGTGCTATATGATCTAGAATGATAATGCTGCACAACCCTCAGGTAACTTGCAGTGCTGGCAATAACTCTTTACAAAGTCATTAAAGTGTAGAATGCGCTGAACACTAGCACCTCAAAAATTCATTGAATAAATAAACAATGCTATGTATGCTAACAATGTATTTCTTCTAAATAAGAAACGATACAACCTGTCACAGAACCGGCTGTTATACAACCGGCATTCTATGGAGTGGCCTAATTTCCATCAGTGGTCTCTGAATCAAATTGATATCTAGGTAATCTAGTAATTTTAAACTTTAAGGGTTTCAGTCCAAATAATCTGGTCAACCAGGCAAAACAATTAGTGAAGAATTTTTTCAAAATTTCATCACATAAGTAACAAATAAACAACCCTGGGAGAATGAGTTTTCCCACATGTCTTCGAGTAGCTTACATAAGTCTCAAAAAATGCGCAGGTGAATTGCTTTCATCTTCAGATAACTGACGTAATTTCTCAGATTCCTAAATTTTCAAACATAAGTGGTAATCAGTTTCAGTGTCTTGATAGATCATGTACTCGGATTGTTGAAATCATTTTCCTAGCAAGCAGCTGCTCAAGTACTGGTACGGTTCATCCAGTGAAAAGATGTGTTGAATAAACCTTGCCTTCAGCAGCCACTAGTGGTTGTTTACTGTTTGATTATCGAGCTTATTTTTACTTGGTGTAAAAAATATGTTTTAAGTGGTTTTCGGCCTCCACTGTTTGCCTCAAATTGGAATTTTTCCTAGCCATAACATCAACAAATGGATCAGCCATTGCTGCCGTCTAATAAGCTTAACCCGTTTGACTACTGTCTGTCTATCGGGCCAAGGAATTTATAAACTCCTACTTGGAGAATTCAGAATCCGTTAGCTCCTTAATAGTGAATATAAAGATCTGCTAAATACGATCAGGTCTGCACTACTCGCCAGTCGCTCGGACAATCGCCGGCTTCCTTCACTACTGCTTGCGACCCAACAGCCTCGATCCTTCTCGAATCCTTCGTTGTCTTTCGCTTATTTTTATTTCATTTTCTCTAATTTTACAAATACAAGAAAGTTGGCGATTTGGGCATGTCTTCACTAAAACTCACGCAAGGGTGATTATCCTACAGCACCAGCTGGACAGTAGATACATGTTCTAGATGGAAATAGTACAATGCAAATTGATTTCGATTGTTTATGCTTACCGTTGCTAGTTTGACTTACATGGATGAAAAAATGAATGTAAATAACTGCACCTTAAAATATTCTGTCCTCTCATATCAGTGCATCAATTAAAACTGTAAAAAAAGTCTTCGTAGTTTATGAACACATTTTATTGCTGCCTTTGGTCAGATGGCAACTGTTCTGGTCGCTAATGTCCTTTTTGCTATTTTCAGCAACTCTCATGCAATTTGGTGTTATGTAGGTAAAAATTTACATTTATTTGTTACCTGCACTTCAACGAAAATACAAAAATGAAACATCATGGTTAAGAAAAATGCTATTCTGAAACCAAACGTGCGTTATCAAAGGCAAATCATCGGAAAACGTCAATTAATGAGAGTTTGGATTTTGAGTGATAAAAACTTCAATGAATCTTGTTCTTTGCGTTTTTCTCCCCTATTTCTTGTGCTTCCTGTAGTTGATTGCAAGTTTTTAGAGGATGATTAGCAGCACATTATATAAGTTCCTTGAAAGCTTGCCTGAGACTTAAGCCAGTTTTTTCCTCTCTTTGTTACGGCGTTTAGCGATGCAAAAAAAAGAGAAATTTTGCGATAATCTCAAGTGCAGTCAAAAGAACTTTTTCCGACATTGAGTGCTCTTGGAGTCTCTAAACGGAAAAGTAAGAAAAAAGATAAGTAAGGCAGACATTTGAAGCTTACAATGTACCAAAAATGTTGTTTTGCTTGGTTATGTTACAGTATAATAAGTTTAATTTTCAAAGATCAGATACTGAACATTGAAAAAGCTCATCGTTACAGTGTTTAATTATGATAATAATCTCTTTAGTTACGGTAAGAGCCTTTGTCTGTTGCACACATGAGGGCAGGACAGAAGCGATAACTGCGTCAGCTCATATATCAATAAGGGTAAAGGTATAGTAAAGGGTTTCCTTCATTACTGTAGGATTACGGTGGAAAGAAATTATCGCCTTTATCAAAGCAAAACCCGTTATGATGAATGCTGGCATTTAAGGTAAAAATCTGAAGACCTTGAATATGTTGGCGATAAAGAGTCTCAGAAATTTCAAGGCTTTCTACACTTCTGGAAGGCCGCTCAAGCCATGTAATTAGAGTTTAAGGATCTGAAAAAAAAAACAACTATTGCGGCATATCTGAGTTGACTTCTGAAACAGTGTTATTACCGTCATGTATAAATCGAGTACATTGGAAGTGCAATTCTGATTTGACTGTTTTCAAGTTTTTCTCACGTCAGAATATTCTAAGAAACAAAAGTTGTCGTTGCGAAGGCCTATTGAAGGCAGTAATTCGGGAAAATTGCGACTGCGGGCTTCCCATGACTACATGGCCTTTTGGACCAGCTGAGTCCGGTACTGCGCTTGAAAAGTCAAAAAAGTGCTTTTTTAGCTTTTCCGGACTTGGAGATTGCTGGGGAGGCGGAGCGAGGGATTCACCCTAAAATGAGCACCCGGCTGCCGAAGACTGTAACTCCACCTATTTTGGCGGCAAACTGTATCGCATGGCTGCCTAGGCTGATCAGCCAATTACCGCCAAAATAGGTAGAGTTACATCTCCAGCAGACAGTTGCTCCTTTTGGGGTGAATCCCTCCCCTTCTCCAGCAATTTCCGAGGCTCGGAATCGCCAAAAAGCACTTTTTTTGACCTTTCAAGCACAGTACTGGACTTAGCTGGTCCAGAAGGCCATGTAGTTGTATGAAGCCCGTAGTCGCAATTTTCCCGAGCCACTGCCTTTGAGTAGAGTTTTTTCTGCACTGAACACAAGTGCACTAATCATGTTATCAAATAAAATTTCCTACCTTCTACTTCGCTAGTTTTCATGTCTTTAAGGTGAAACCAAAAACAACTCCACTGATATACACCCATGGGACAGCCCAGCGAATTTTTGCTACAGGTCAGCATGATTCCGACTGCCTTATTTAGCTATTTTGGTTTTTTTAGATGATAATAGCAATCAGCTGCAAACTCTGTTCGCGATTCATCTTAGCCTACCTTAGGAGTAGTAACCATGTCTGCAGAAAGTGCTCCCATCATATTCTGAAAAAATTAGTATCAGCTTGTATAGTATCAAACTCGTTGTAAATCTTTACTTACCTCTACCTTTACCTTTATCTTTATTTACCTTTACTTTACGTTTTTGCTCAATCTAATGTGTTCATCGGCTAGGTTTGAGACTTCTTTTGAATATAGTTAGAACCACTGAAACAATGTTTGCCTAAAGAAAGGGGCGAAACGAAATTCTCAGCATTATAATGTTTTTATAATTAATTAAACCTGTTGCGTTTTACGATCGTAAAATATGAGTGCGACAAACACACTAACATGGTACTCTATGCTGCGGAAAAACAAATTTTCCAATCCATCTGCCTCGATATCACTCTGAAAGAGGGGGACGCAATTACTATAGTGCTCATTTCAATGTTTCCAGGATGACTACTAAAAGTAGAGATTACATATACTACATGTTCGATAATGGCATCTGCGAGGTGAGCGTTAGCATCACTAGTACCAAATCAATTCATTTTCCATTTTCGTGCGACCAACAAGCTGTTAATCTTTTTTCATTAATTGCTGGCACGAAATTTCAAGAGGGTTTACGATAAAATACGGAAATTTCTGCAATTGCCTTTACAGGGGGAGAGG